GTTATATGCCAAGTTGTGACCCAATAGGACTGCTAGAGAAAATACATGAGAAGAGACGTGAAGGAAAGGGAGTTTGAGGAGTAAGGATTGAAAGTGTTAGTGGAAAAGATTTTAATCAAGCACATTTGTACATTTTAAACAACACAGAGGATGTTATTCCTTACATTTCACAACACATTGATGAAATTAAGTCAGCATATCCACGTATGAGTGAAAAGTGGACACTTAATGAACATAGCAAATCCTTTTTAGCTTGGTTTAAGAAAAAGATTTATGCGACTCCGAATGTTTCTGAAAATCTATTGAGACTAGCTTGTGGACCTAACACTGGTGTGATCACTTTCGGCGACTATTACATAAACAATTACTTGTTCTATATAAAGGAGGAAGACGATAAAAGTAGAGTTCAAAATAGTGGAGTTACCCTACAAGCTAAGGCTGTACACTTTTCCAGTTCCAAGGATAAGAATCCAATTACAACATCAATCATTTATTTTGGAATAATACAAGAAATTTGGGAAATTGATTATGTCACTTTTAGAGTTCGAGGTTTCAAGTGTAAATGGGTTGACAGTAATTCTGGTGTGGTGACAGAAGACCTCAGATTCACTTTGGTGGATCTTAACAAAATGAGTTACACGGATGAACCATTTATTATGGCTAGTCAAGCAAGACAAATATTCTATGTCACTGACCTAGTGAATCGTAAATTGTCAGTGGTATTTAAAGGCAAAGCCATGCACACAACTGATGATGAAAACTAAGCTCCTTCTCATCAAGAACCATTGAGAATAAGTTCGATGATGTACCCGATGAAATACATAAAACTCGATGTGATCACAACGAAGGCATATGAGATAAATAGGTATCTTAGCATTGTTTTAATTACTTGTACAATTTATTTATTTTGTCTGTTCTAAATATAATCTTCTAACACTTTGTAAATAGGTATGACGAGCTTTGGACCAGGTCCGACGGGAGGAGGGGGTAGATCTGTGACTCGGATGCCTGATGCACATCCCGTCGGGTTAATGAGAAACCAATGGCGGTGGAGTTTGATCGCCAAACATTTGTGCCTGTTGGGGCACATGCAGCATCGTTCAAAAGTTACTTAGGCGTGATGGCAAAAGCACATGTCCCTATTGTCGCTACCTGTTGGGATGATGTCCCACAGGTTGACAAAAATCTACTATGGCAGGATATTTTGGTATGTTTAAGATGTTTTACTTCCATCATTGACTTATTTTTTTTTATCATGCTTTAACATTAATTTTGTTTTTAACATGAAAATCGGAATATCGCTAATGATGAGAGGATAAGGAAGAAGATTTTATCCCACATTGCAGTCCGATGGAGGGACTTCAAGATGAGAATGAAACATCAATACGTCTTTGGCTCTAAACAAAACGACACTCCTTGTACAAAATATAAAAAACTTGAGGAGGAGTGGGTGTAGTTTAAAGAATCTAGACTTACTCCTGAGTGGCATGTATTCTTTTTAATATTTTGCTCTAGTCACACAAGATGTTAATTTGTGATTTATGCTTAATGATTTTCATTTTTTCATAGGTGAAAAGGATAGCTGCCCAACAGAGGCAGAAGCTTAATGATACACCACACGTACTGTCACGTGGTGGTAATGCATTATTAGAGAAAAAGATGAGAAAACGTCGCGTTGAGGAGTTAGGTCTTGAGTCACCTGATCTAGCACCTCCACCAGCCAGACATGAATTGTGGAAGGCTGCACGGACAAAGTTCAATGGCCAGTTTACATCCCAGTCTGCTCAAGAGATATCCCAAAGAATTGTAAGTGGAAAATTTAACTGATTACCATAGTTCATAAAAAATTATGTAACAAACTTTTTAATGTGTGTAGCTTCATTATGATATTCAGGATGACTTGGTTGACCAACAAAGTCAAAGCACATTTGTGGCACAAGGTAGGGAGGAGCTCCTAGTAGTAGCCACAGGTCGGCTAGACCGTCCAGGTCGTGCGCGTGGTGTTGGAGGAGCTACTGGATTGAGAGAGTACTTTGGCCCTAAACCAAGAAGCATAAAAGTCGTGACTCAGGAAATGGTTAGTAGCATCAGGAAACAGGTGCAAGTCGAATTAGAGGAAAGCATGGGTGAACGCTTCAAAATGCTGGAAGAAAAACTTGCGATGATCACCCAACAACAGCTACAACAACAACAACAACAACAACAAGAGCAACAACAAGAGCAACAACAATAGTCACAGTAGGAGGACGCCCCTACAAATGATCCTACTGCACCTCGTGTGAGCACCAAAGGTTAATGCTCTACTGCAGATCATACTAATTACAATATTTAGTATGGGTTTTTGGTTAATGAGGATCCTCCGCGCATAGTGGCAGTGGGACGACAGATTGCAGGAGGCCAGACCATTCATGGTGCTCCTTTATTGCCCACTCACGTGCGGGTAATGATTGATGATCCAAGAGACCCCCAAGCTCGAGTGTCATTGCCTACATCTGAAATCCAATTTGTGGGGGAGGCCTTAGGCACATTCATAGCTTGGCTTAAGGCTATGATCATGCCATATTTTGGCACACCAGTGGTATTATATTCTTCATTTTATTATCTTAAATCTTCATGCTATAATTAAACGATTCCTAACTTTTGTAAATGTAAGTTGCAGGTTTACCGTCCTAAGAAACAACCAATTGCTCCACCTGTAAACGAGGCTCGTGAGGAAGCAGAAGACCATGATGCTATATCCATATTGACCTCCAGATTAAATAAGTTGAGAAAAGTTCCTTTAGAGATTTTGTGGGAGTTAAGAACATTTGGCCTCGAGTGCCATGTTCCATTGTATATTAATTTCTATTATGCTTATGAGATCATTGGTGGAGAAAAAATGCTCAACATTTCATGCATACAACTATGGTGCATGTAAGTTTTTTATTTGTTATTTTTCAATTTGTATATTAGTATTATTACTTTTTAATAAATATACTTAACTTTATTCTTATAGGTACATGGACACCATCGTAGTTGAATCAGGTCGGGCGTCAGTTTATGGCTTTCTTGAACCTCAGACCATTCAACCATCTGGAAACACATTAGATTCTAGAAAATCATATATTCAAACATGGATGACTGATTCTAACAGAGATATATATATATATCATGCCATACATTGATGCGTATTTGTTTCCCAATATTGTCAACTTTTATCAAGTTTTAATCAATAAACTAACTCACTAGTTGTTGGTACATGACAGGGGCCATTGGCAACTCATGGTGATCATTCCAAAAAAAGCACAAGTTGTATGCTTTTGCTCTCTTCATAGGAAGATTAAAGCGGAGTTGAAGTCCTTGATACAAACGTAAGTATTACATTCATTCTTATCAATTCATTATGATATTAATATATTAACTTATGTTTCTAATGTTTCAAATTTGTTTAGAGTTGTGACTAGGACTAGAGGACAACAACTTGAAATTATATATCCTAAGGTTGGAATTCGTTGATCATTAAGCTTTAACTTTCGTAGTCAAACTTAAACCATTACATTTGACTAAGTTCTTTCACATGTTTAGTGTAATAAGTAGAATGATTCCTGGGCATGTGGCTACTACATCATGTCATGGATGAAGGCAATCATTTGAGCAGAAATCAGAGGGGAATGGACTGAGGTAAAAATTTACATTTGAAAATCTTACAAATATCAACAAACTTTTGACATTAAAATGAATATAATAGTAAAGTTTCCTTGATTATGCAGCGGTTCAACACTACCTCTCCATTGTCCACTTCACTAATAACGACGATAAGAGAGAATTGGGCACGATATTTGAATAAACATTTTAAATAGCTATAGCTTTAGGTTTTTCCTTTCATGATAGTGGCATTTGCTTACTTGTGCATCTTTTAAACTGTTAATAGATTATTGTGAATAGATTAATACTGTGAATAGATGAATATTGTGAATAGATGAATGGAAAATTGGGTTCTTTAAAGTTTTGATGATAGCATTAGCCTCTTTTAGTTTTACTATTTAATTGGAATTGATGAATTGATGATAACATGGTTTAAATTAATTAATTTTGTGAATATATGTGAATTGAAAAACTAGTTTTTGTATTTTAGGTTTGGTTGAATGAGCTAAACCGAATCAAATAAAAAAAAAAAATTGAAGGTAACGTCGAAGTACACACCATTTGACGTTCAAACATCGACAATAACGTCCCATATAGACCATTTCGACGTTAACCTTACGTCCATCCCCTTATACTTGACGTCAAATATTCCTTTAAATATAAATATTTATTCAAATATTACTCAAAAATTGACGTCTTCTTTGAACTTCGACGTTGATGGGGAAGTGCATACCTAGAGAGAATATACTAAATGACATTTAAGAAATGGAAGAGAAATTAAAAATGGAAGAGATTAGAGAAAAGGAAACTTAGGAAATGAAGATGCGCCACTTGAACAAGCTTCCAAGATAAGCATCATGAAGAGGACTGCCACTTGCTTGAGCAAGATAAGGCCTGCCCAAATTTGGGACTTTAGAGACAGAATTCTATCTCAAAGAAGAATGCAAGATTGCAATTCAACTCAAATTTCATTCAATGCAAAGTTGTCTACAAAGAAGAACCCCTAGGTTGCTTATATAGCTTTTGGAATGACTTTGGTGAAAAGTTTCAAGAGATGTGGGACTTGGAAGGCTCCAAGTTCTGTCCAGCAGCAGCTGCAACGTCCCTAGGTGCATGGGAGCCCCACATTGCTTAATTCTCTCATTCCAAAAGGGTTTATAAGCTCCTAGCTCTCCTAGAGTTCAAAAACTAACACTAGCTATGCTTCCTAACTCCTACACGCCTAAAAATGCTCACTTTCTCTTCTATTCTTTTTAAGACCAAGCTATGGAAAGTCCCACATTGCGTACTCTTAAAGAGAAAGAAGAGGTTATAAGCAATTATTCACAAGAACTAAGAGAAAGAAATCAAAAGGCAAATACACGCCCAAAGGAAACCTATTCTACTCTTTTTGTGTTTTTGTCACTTTGAAACTCTTCACTACTTGACCCATTTATGATCATATCATCCCCCCCAGGTTGGAGAGGATTCGACCTCGAATCTTGAAAAGCCTGCAACAAAGAGAGATTTAGTGACTTATTTCGTGTATAAACCAAAGCAACTCCTCCTGGATCAAATGTCAATCTGCAAAAATCATTAAACATTTTGTGAATGAATTTATGTTGACCAATCAATGTATATAAACAAGTAATAGTAAAAGAAAGTCTCCTGATATTTTTATTGCATTTAGTGGTGAAAACTAGGAGACCATTTTTAGAGAAAAAATTATTTTTGTCTTGAGTTGAATGGACCCAAAGGGGTAACACTAACTCATGACATGTTTCATAAATGTTTATGGAATAGTTGGAAAGAAGGAAAGAGGGAGGTGAAAAAGTTGTGCAAAATATTTTTGGAACAAAGAAAGAAAACTTAGTAAAAGGAGAAAAGTAGAAGGATTGAAAAACTCCCCTGTCATGGTTTAGATCTATTTGAATGATGGGAGTGGATGGTGCCTTCAGTAACACTTCCTTTTTGACTAAGACTTTGTCCTTCTCTATTTCTCTCACAAGTTCTTCTTTTTCTTTCTTTTCTCCCTCCTCTCTTTCTTTTCTCTCAGTCTCTTCTTTTACTCTCTCCTCTCTTTCTTTTCTGTCGTCATTTAAACAAGTAAGCATGACCTTCTCTTTGGCATCACTTGATGAGGAAGAAGAGCTATAGGTTGGTGAAGTTAAGGAAGACGTAGACTCATTAGTCACAATTACTTCACCCTCAATGCATGTTGCCTTTTTGGTGGGGCAGGCAGAGGCTATATGACCATGTCCTAAACATTTAAAACATTTAATGTGACTTGGTCTAGAAGAAGATTTAGGTGGGGAAGAGGAATGGTTAGAAGAAAAATGAGAAAACGATTTGTTAGTGGGCTCCTTAGAAACATCCTTGTTTTTATCCTTTGATGATGAGGATTTGTAGAAAACATCTCTTGAAGATTTGGAAAATTTGTTTTGACAAGCTTCTTTTTTCAAGAGTTTCTTCTCTACTTTCATGGCTCTATGAACCACTACATCTAAAGTCTCATCATCATGGAATTCAATTATATCTTGGATGTTGCTATTAAGTCCACTAATAAATCTAACTATTTTTGCATGATCATTTTCTTTAAGGTTAGTATGATGTAGGAGCACTTCGAGCTCGCGAGCATACTCCTCCACACTTCGTCTACCTTGAGTAAGCCATTGGAGCTTAATCAAGAGGTCCCTATGGTAGTATGGAGGTACGAAACGTTGGTACAAAATGTCCCTGCAATGTTCCCATGTACTCGCGGGTGAGGCCATGGTTAAGTATCTCCTATTTAGCCATTGTTTGGCGTATCCCTCTAAAGCTAAACAAGCTAACTTTACACGCAAAGGTCCATTTACACTATATAAATCAAAAATTTGGTCTACTTTAGCTATCCAATCTAAAAAAATAGACGGCTCGACTTCCCCTTTGAAAGTAGGCAAGTTCAACTTTGGTAGTGTAAGGCCTTGGTCCATAGCTTTATCTTCTTGATGCTTCTTTGGCGAGGGAAGGTATACATTTATGGTTCTAGCTTCTTGCTTCTTCTTGTAGGAACCATGATCATGACCATGAGATTGCTTCCCTTTAGCCTTTGTTTCCGCGTTTAACCGTTTGCTCATAGCATCAAGTTGATGTTGCATTTGTTGGAAGGCCTTCATCACATCAAACTTGCTAGAAGGGCTTCCATGGTTGCTATCTCCATGAGATGAAGCATGGCTGGAACCTGCAGACATGTTAAAAAAAAAAAAACAGCAGCAAGCTACACACAAAACAGGTTAGAAACAACCAAAAATCAAGGCAAAGCAGCAGCCACAAAACAGCTCACGGTTTCACTCAAAGAATGGAAGGAAACGACTCAAAACTCACGGCCAGTGTCTCAAAAAACAAGGAAAGGGCAGCACCCTTCTTTTAAGATAGTAAAATGTCTCACAAGTCCACTTTGAGAGCACCAACTCAAGTCCAAAGCAAATGGAAAGATGTACAATCCACTTTAATGCAAAGAAGCCAAATCAAGACAGCACATGGTAGAGGCCAAAGAAAGAATGAAAACTACAAGACAAATGATGAAAATGGAACCTAAAAAATCAAGAAACTTGGCACAAAAACAAGGAGGCAACACTCTAATGATTTTATGAAGACAAAACAGCAAGAAAATGGAGTCAAAACAGTGGCACAAAATGAACAAGACAGCAAAGAAATTTACACAACCAAGAAGCAAATATACATCAACATACTAAGTATACATGAAGAGCAAGACCAAATTAATGCTGGAAATAATTTTGGCAAACCTCAAACCAATATATTCTGTATTTAAATGAGAAAAGAGGCTTGAAAACAATGCTCAAACACACTAAACACAAGGAAGATGTCTCGGCCAGCAAGCATGCACACCAATTACCAAAAATTTGTTTTGCTGTTTTGGTGCAGTTTGCAAGAATGTTCTCGGCCAAGCTAAGTTTAACACATTAAGTGTGTTTGATTAATATGCCAAATAGAATGGATGGATGCCTCTATGAATACAGAACATATAAGCAAGGTTCACACACTTAAATCCTATAAAGATCAAGCTCAATTCAGCATACCATCAAGGAGATGTAAAATTTACTCTTAGCTATGCAATTTCAGAAAAATACTCTAGAAAACTCCTAAAGAGGAAACACATATGACTCAATTAAAAGCTAAGCAATTAAGAAAGACACATACAATCCAGCCAAGACAAAGAATTAATAGCTGGAACAAACAAACAAAAGGAAATAGGACACCTACTTGTTGAAGACCTCCAATAGCATTGTTGCTGTTTGATGAAATGTCTACTTGCACAAGGCTCTGGACAGCCACGGTTTAGTCCCTCAAAGCATTGATTTGAAGTGTTGATTCCTTGCTTAAGAGTATTGAGAGGGTGTAGCAACGTCCAGGGAGCAATTCCAGCCACCAAAATGTCCAAACAGCCAACAACAAAGCAAAACAGTGGAGTATTAATTCAACAGCAGAAATCTGGATGAACACAGTGGAGAAAATAATTTACTGGGAACAGTACAGAACGAATTTGAGAAAAGTAAAAATTGTTCATGAAACTAGACATCCAGACGAAACTAGGAAAAAAAATTTCATGGAAAACGGACAAGAAATGAAGCTAAACTAAATCATACAAGTTGACTGTAACAGGGACGCAGAAGCTGGGCGAGACAGAAATTGGCTCAGCGAAAATGAACATTTCTAAGCTATTCTACTCTAGCATGCAATTCCTAAGAGATCAAAAACCTAAGGCTCATGATACCACATGATGGGGAAGTGCATACCTAGAGAGAATATACTAAATGACATTTAAGAAATGGAAGAGAAATTAAAAATGGAAGAGATTAGAGAAAAGGAAACTTAGGAAATGAAGATGCGCCACTTGAACAAGCTTCCAAGATAAGCATCATGAAGAGGACCGCCACTTGCTTGAGCAAGATAAGGCCTGCCCAAATTTGGGACTTTAGAGACAGAATTCTATCTCAAAGAAGAATGCAAGATTGCAATTCAACTCAAATTTCATTCAATGCAAAGGTGTGTACAAAGAAGAACCCCTAGGTTGCTTATATAGCTTTTGGAATGACTTTGGTGAAAAGTTTCAAGAGATGTGGGACTTGGAAGGCTCCAAGTTCTGTCCAGCAGCAGCTGCAACGTCCCTAGGTGCATGGGAGCCCCACATTGCTTAATTCTCTCATTCCAAAAGGGTTTATAAGCTCCTAGCTCTCCTAGAGTTCAAAAACTAACACTAGCTATGCTTCCTAACTCCTACACGCCTAAAAATGCTCACTTTCTCTTCTATTCTTTTTAAGACCAAGCTATGGAAAGTCCCACATTGCGTACTCTTAAAGAGAAAGAAGAGTTTATAAGCAATTATTCACAAGAACTAAGAGAAAGAAATCAAAAGGCAAATACACGCCCAAAGGAAACCTATTATACTCTTTTTGTGTTTTTGTCACTTTGAAACTCTTCATTACTTGACCCATTTATGATCATATCAGACGTGAACATTACATCCATTATCTTCCGCATCAACGTTTAGTTTACGTCATTTCCCCCGTACATAAGACAACAAATCTTACTATAAATATAAATATTTATTCAAATATTGAATGTCAATCTCTTTACTAACTGATGTAACCTTACGTCGTTGCACCATGTTGACGGTAGGTTTACGTCAGATCTCGATATAATCGACGTGAAATTGTCCTATTAACGTCACCTCGTGATATTCGACGTAAAAGTTACGTCACCCGCTATGACGTTGGTCTCTAATTCGTCATTAAAAGCCAAAAATAACCAATGTAATACGCTCTTTTTGCACTAGTGAAAAGTGTTTTTGCTTCGTTCCAGCCAAAGATGACCGACTTAGGTCGACTAAAACCTTATATATTATTCTAAAAATTACAAAAAAGTAAGCCCAAGTCCCTAAAAATGGCGCTCAGCGGTAAGCTCGACACTTCAGATTTTAAGCTCAGCTGCATTTGCCCCTCAGCGGTGACTACAGGACCTCAAGAACGCGCTAAGCAGTAATTTCCGCTGAGCGGTACTCGCGTCTTCTCTTTTTGTTTACTTTTCACTTCCTTTTCTGATTCCAACTTCTTCCTACTTCACTTCTTTTATCCAATTCATCTTAAAACCTTCAAAAACTAGTAAAACCAAGCATAAAACCCATTCAACTCTCTTATTTCAAAAACATAAACAAAAGCATGATTCCAAGCTAGTTTCTAAGTCATAAAGGTTGTCTTTAAGGTCCATTTTAAGTATAAAAATAACAGTTTTTCAACTGTTATTAGCTAGCCTCCTCCAGTTCCTACTCACCATTTACTCTCCAAACTGTGGAGTTAATTCAGGAATCAATCCACCCTTCCTTTCCATTAGAAGCCTCCTATCTTGGACAATTTTAAAATGTTTCTCATGCCTGCGGGAAAGGAACTTGCTAGAATGGGTGCTTTCTGGTTCCTTATCCTTCCTCTTGGATCCTATAGTCTTGTATCTCTTGCCAGATGATGAGGTCATCCCTTCATCAAACACAATTCAAAAAGCACAAGACATGTTGTTAATCATTAGTAAATCACAAACAACACCCCAAAACCATGCCAAATCACCGTTGAGGGCAAACAAAGCCCCTCAGCGCAACTTATGCATCAAACGAGGAAGCAAAAGAGCCAAAAAAATTCATTATGCCAGAATCGCGCTTAGGAGAAATTTCTGCTGAGCGGCAATTTTGCAGATTTTGCAAAATTCCTTTTAGAATTTCCTATTCTCCACCCACATGCAATCTTCTTAGTTCCAGACCCAAATCAAGCATTTTAGTCGGTTCAAACAACAATTAATTCATCAAATCATGCATAAAAATCAAAATCCCTAAAGAATCATGCTTAAACAACCATGTTCATTTCAATTCATGTTTTCAAGAACCCTAGAATGAAAATTGCTTGAACGTACTTGAGAGAAGATGCTAGATGAATGAAAAATGCTCTAAGAATGTGAAGAAATCAGCTCCCAATAGCAATGCTCTCACCAAACCCCACACTTGGATGGAAACCTAGTGAGAAAGTGAGTGGAAGAGAGGTTTTGTAAAGGGGGAAGAGGGAAAAAGTGTAGAGAACTCTTGAGAAAGTGTTTANTAATAGTAAAGTTTCCTTGATTATGCAGCGGTTCAACACTACCTCTCCATTGTCCACTTCACTAATAACGACGATAAGAGAGAATTGGGCACGATATTTGAATAAACATTTTAAATAGCTATAGCTTTAGGTTTTTCCTTTCATGATAGTGGCATTTGCTTACTTGTGCATCTTTTAAACTGTTAATAGATTATTGTGAATAGATTAATACTGTGAATAGATGAATATTGTGAATAGATGAATGGAAAATTGGGTTCTTTAAAGTTTTGATGATAGCATTAGCCTCTTTTAGTTTTACTATTTAATTGGAATTGATGAATTGATGATAACATGGTTTAAATTAATTAATTTTGTGAATATATGTGAATTGAAAAACTAGTTTTTGTATTTTAGGTTTGGTTGAATGAGCTAAACCGAATCAAATAAAAAAAAAACATTGAAGGTAACGTCGAAGTACACACCATTTGACGTTCAAACATCGACAATAACGTCCCATATAGACCATTTCGACGTTAACCTTACGTCCATCCCCTTATACTTGACGTCAAATATTCCTTTAAATATAAATATTTATTCAAATATTACTCAAAAATTGACGTCTTCTTTGAACTTCGACGTTGATGGGGAAGTGCATACCTAGAGAGAATATACTAAATGACATTTAAGAAATGGAAGAGAAATTAAAAATGGAAGAGATTAGAGAAAAGGAAACTTAGGAAATGAAGATGCGCCACTTGAACAAGCTTCCAAGATAAGCATCATGAAGAGGACTGCCACTTGCTTGAGCAAGATAAGGCCTGCCCAAATTTGGGACTTTAGAGACAGAATTCTATCTCAAAGAAGAATGCAAGATTGCAATTCAACTCAAATTTCATTCAATGCAAAGTTGTCTACAAAGAAGAACCCCTAGGTTGCTTATATAGCTTTTGGAATGACTTTGGTGAAAAGTTTCAAGAGATGTGGGACTTGGAAGGCTCCAAGTTCTGTCCAGCAGCAGCTGCAACGTCCCTAGGTGCATGGGAGCCCCACATTGCTTAATTCTCTCATTCCAAAAGGGTTTATAAGCTCCTAGCTCTCCTAGAGTTCAAAAACTAACACTAGCTATGCTTCCTAACTCCTACACGCCTAAAAATGCTCACTTTCTCTTCTATTCTTTTTAAGACCAAGCTATGGAAAGTCCCACATTGCGTACTCTTAAAGAGAAAGAAGAGTTTATAAGCAATTATTCACAAGAACTAAGAGAAAGAAATCAAAAGGCAAATACACGCCCAAAGGAAACCTATTATACTCTTTTTGTGTTTTTGTCACTTTGAAACTCTTCATTACTTGACCCATTTATGATCATATCAGACGTGAACATTACATCCATTATCTTCCGCATCAACGTTTAGTTTACGTCATTTCCCCCGTACATAAGACAACAAATCTTACTATAAATATAAATATTTATTCAAATATTGAATGTCAATCTCTTTACTAACTGATGTAACCTTACGTCGTTGCACCATGTTGACGGTAGGTTTACGTCAGATCTCGATATAATCGACGTGAAATTGTCCTATTAACGTCACCTCGTGATATTCGACGTAAAAGTTACGTCACCCGCTATGACGTTGGTCTCTAATTCGTCATTAAAAGCCAAAAATAACCAATGTAATACGCTCTTTTTGCACTAGTGAAAAGTGTTTTTGCTTCGTTCCAGCCAAAGATGACCGACTTAGGTCGACTAAAACCTTATATATTATTCTAAAAATTACAAAAAAGTAAGCCCAAGTCCCTAAAAATGGCGCTCAGCGGTAAGCCCGACACTTCAGATTTTAAGCTCAGCTGCATTTGCCCCTCAGCGGTGACTACAGGACCTCAAGAACGCGCTAAGCAGTAATTTCCGCTGAGCGGTACTCGCGTCTTCTCTTTTTGTTTACTTTTCACTTCCTTTTCTGATTCCAACTTCTTCCTACTTCACTTCTTTCATCCAATTCATCTTAAAACCTACAAAAACAAGGAAAACCAAGCATAAAACCCATCCAACTCTCGTATTTCAAAAACATAAACAAAAGCATGATTCCAAGCTAGTTTCTAAGTCATAAAGGTTGTCTTTAAGGTCCATTTTAAGTATAAAAATAACAGTTTTTCAACTGTTATTAGCTAGCCTCCTCCAGTTCCTACTCACCATTTACTCTCCAAACTGTGGAGTTAATTCAGGAATCAATCCACCCTTCCTTTCCATTAGAAGCCTCCTATCTTGGACAATTTTAAAATGTTTCTCATGCCTGCGGGAAAGGAACTTGCTAGAATGGGTGCTTTCTGGTTCCTTATCCTTCCTCTTGGATCCTATAGTCTTGTATCTCTTGCCAGATGATGAGGTCATCCCTTCATCAAACACAATTCAAAAAGCACAAGACATGTTGTTAATCATTAGTAAATCACAAACAACACCCCAAAACCATGCCAAATCACCGTTGAGGGCAAACAAAGCCCCTCAGCGCAACTTATGCATCAAACGAGGAAGCAAAAGAGCCAAAAAAATTCATTATGCCAGAATCGCGCTTAGGAGAAATTTCTGCTGAGCGGCAATTTTGCAGATTTTGCAAAATTCCTTTTAGAATTTCCTATTCTCCACCCACATGCAATCTTCTTAGTTCCAGACCCAAATCAAGCATTTTAGTCGGTTCAAACAACAATTAATTCATCAAATCATGCATAAAAATCAAAATCCCTAAAGAATCATGCTTAAACAACCATGTTCATATCAATTCATGTTTTCAAGAACCCTAGAATGAAAATTGCTTGAACGTACTTGAGAGAAGATGCTAGATGAATGAAAAATGCTCTAAGAATGTGAAGAAATCAGCTCCCAATAGCAATGCTCTCACCAAACCCCACACTTGGATGGAAACCTAGTGAGAAAGTGAGTGGAAGAGAGGTTTTGTAAAGGGGGAAGAGGGAAAAAGTGTAGAGAACTCTTGAGAAAGTGTTTAAGAGTTGTGGGAAGAAGGAAATCTGAAAATAGAGGTAAAGTCACGCCCTAGGTGTCCCATAATCATTCCTCTCACTGACTCCCTGCATTAAAGTTCTCCTATCAATCAAACATTCAATCCCTATCATGCAACTAAAACAAAATCAAAACAAACAACAAAAATAAAGTCAATCAACTAGGTTGCCTCCCAGGTAGCGCTTGTGTAACGTCACGAGCCTGACGCAATATCCACCAANTGATGGGGAAGTGCATACCTAGAGAGAATATACTAAATGACATTTAAGAAATGGAAGAGAAATTAAAAATGGAAGAGATTAGAGAAAAGGAAACTTAGGAAATGAAGATGCGCCACTTGAACAAGCTTCCAAGATAAGCATCATGAAGAGGACCGCCACTTGCTTGAGCAAGATAAGGCCTGCCCAAATTTGGGACTTTAGAGACAGAATTCTATCTCAAAGAAGAATGCAAGATTGCAATTCAACTCAAATTTCATTCAATGCAAAGGTGTGTACAAAGAAGAACCCCTAGGTTGCTTATATAGCTTTTGGAATGACTTTGGTGAAAAGTTTCAAGAGATGTGGGACTTGGAAGGCTCCAAGTTCTGTCCAGCAGCAGCTGCAACGTCCCTAGGTGCATGGGAGCCCCACATTGCTTAATTCTCTCATTCCAAAAGGGTTTATAAGCTCCTAGCTCTCCTAGAGTTCAAAAACTAACACTAGCTATGCTTCCTAACTCCTACACGCCTAAAAATGCTCACTTTCTCTTCTATTCTTTTTAAGACCAAGCTATGGAAAGTCCCACATTGCGTACTCTTAAAGAGAAAGAAGAGTTTATAAGCAATTATTCACAAGAACTAAGAGAAAGAAATCAAAAGGCAAATACACGCCCAAAGGAAACCTATTATACTCTTTTTGTGTTTTTGTCACTTTGAAACTCTTCATTACTTGACCCATTTATGATCATATCAGACGTGAACATTACATCCATTATCTTCCGCATCAACGTTTAGTTTACGTCATTTCCCCCGTACATAAGACAACAAATCTTACTATAAATATAAATATTTATTCAAATATTGAATGTCAATCTCTTTACTAACTGATGTAACCTTACGTCGTTGCACCATGTTGACGGTAGGTTTACGTCAGATCTCGATATAATCGACGTGAAATTGTCCTATTAACGTCACCTCGTGATATTCGACGTAAAAGTTACGTCACCCGCTATGACGTTGGTCTCTAATTCGTCATTAAAAGCCAAAAATAACCAATGTAATACGCTCTTTTTGCACTAGTGAAAAGTGTTTTTGCTTCGTTCCAGCCAAAGATGACCGACTTAGGTCGACTAAAACCTTATATATTATTCTAAAAATTACAAAAAAGTAAGCCCAAGTCCCTAAAAATGGCGCTCAGCGGTAAGCGCGACACTTCAGATTTTAAGCTCAGCTGCATTTGCCCCTCAGCGGTGACTACAGGACCTCAAGAACGCGCTAAGCAGTAATTTCCGCTGAGCGGTACTCGCGTCTTCTCTTTTTGTTTACTTTTCACTTCCTTTTCTGATTCCAACTTCTTCCTACTTCACTTCTTTCATCCAATTCATCTTAAAACCTACAAAAACAAGGAAAACCAAGCATAAAACCCATCCAACTCTCGTATTTCAAAAACATAAACAAAAGCATGATTCCAAGCTAGTTTCTAAGTCATAAAGGTTGTCTTTAAGGTCCATTTTAAGTATAAAAATAACAGTTTTTCAACTGTTATTAGCTAGCCTCCTCCAGTTCCTACTCACCATTTACTCTCCAAACTGTGGAGTTAATTCAGGAATCAATCCACCCTTCCTTTCCATTAGAAGCCTCCTATCTTGGACAATTTTAAAATGTTTCTCATGCCTGCGGGAAAGGAACTTGCTAGAATGGGTGCTTTCTGGTTCCTTATCCTTCCTCTTGGATCCTATAGTCTTGTATCTCTTGCCAGATGATGAGGTCATCCCTTCATCAAACACAATTCAAAAAGCACAAGACATGTTGTTAATCATTAGTAAATCACAAACAACACCCCAAAACCATGCCAAATCACCGTTGAGGGCAAACAAAGCCCCTCAGCGCAACTTATGCATCAAACGAGGAAGCAAAAGAGCCAAAAAAATTCATTATGCCAGAATCGCGCTTAGGAGAAATTTCTGCTGAGCGGCAATTTTGCAGATTTTGCAAAATTCCTTTTAGAATTTCCTATTCTCCACCCACATGCAATCTTCTTAGTTCCAGACCCAAATCAAGCATTTTAGTCGGTTCAAACAACAATTAATTCATCAAATCATGCATAAAAATCAAAATCCCTAAAGAATCATGCTTAAACAACCATGTTCATATCAATTCATGTTTTCAAGAACCCTAGAATGAAAATTGCTTGAACGTACTTGAGAGAAGATGCTAGATGAATGAAAAATGCTCTAAGAATGTGAAGAAATCAGCTCCCAATAGCAATGCTCTCACCAAACCCCACACTTGGATGGAAACCTAGTGAGAAAGTGAGTGGAAGAGAGGTTTTGTAAAGGGGGAAGAGGGAAAAAGTGTAGAGAACTCTTGAGAAAGTGTTTAAGAGTTGTGGGAAGAAGGAAATCTGAAAATAGAGGTAAAGTCACGCCCTAGGTGTCCCATAATCATTCCTCTCACTGACTCCCTGCATTAAAGTTCTCCTATCAATCAAACATTCAATCCCTATCATGCAACTAAAACAAAATCAAAACAAACAACAAAAATAAAGTCAATCAACTAGGTTGCCTCCCAGGTAGCGCTTGTGTAACGTCACGAGCCTGACGCAATATCCACCAACACCCATCAGTAGGTGTAACAAACCTAGTATCATTCAGTAGATACTTAACCACTTAACATCCATAA